AATACAGAGAAGCCTACGGTAGAATGTGAACCGCAAGATACCTCGCTGAACGCTGGATATTTATTAAAAAAAAAAAAAAAAAACACAGCACATACATGACATGGAGCTCTGTGAATTCACAAACTTATGACTGATACAGCTTCAACTGATGAGGCCTACTTATGGCCTATATATAATGCTACTACTATTGCTTAGGAAAGAATACACAGTCAAAAAAAAAGACTTCCCAGACAGCATCTTCTGTATCTAAACAACGCTTAAACCATTCCTAGTAGCTACAGAAAATGTGACTCTTGTCCTTGCATAGTGTGCTGTAATACTCATAGGCAAGAAAGAAACAAGGAGAATATACAGTCTCAGTTTTATTGTCAAGAATTCTTGCTCCTAAAAAGTGAGAACAATATCTAAGGAAAAATGACTTCCTGTAGATTTCTCTCACAAGGCTAATCCAACTGGTGTCCAAAAAAAAAAAAAAAAAACCCCTATAAAATTCAAGTCAGGTTCTTCTGTAGATAGGGCATTCAGCATTCGTAATACCTCTCTCATACATAATCCTGTGTCTGCTAAAGAATTTAAGCTGCAGACATTTCTTCAGAAGCATTTCAAAAGGATCTCTTTCTACTTGACTACTTTCACATAATGTCCAAAAATTCTGTGATTTCTAACCCTGTGTCAAAGCTATGTAGTATTATCTGCTTGCCCTTCGTTCCAGCTTTCTCTGGCGACCACAGAAGCTTTATGTTTCTAGGAAATTATGCTCAACATTAAAATTTCTATATTTTCAACCTCACACCTACCTCTGCTGTCCAATACTTTCAAACACCTTTTTACTTACAATCATGGGGCAGCATAAATTATGCAGAGCTATATACCTACCAGCACAGCAGAATAAAAAACTCTTTTGAATGAGGAAAGTAATACTGCATACATTTATTTTTAATGAGATAGCTCTGTAAATATGAGTTCTAAGACTTATATATTTTTGAAGCAAGTCCTAAACAACTTTCCTCATTTTTTCATTCAATGGAAGTAACAGCAAGTGAATTAACTCCTAGTCCTGAATTATCCACTCTAAACTTTAAGACCAGATCAAAGCAATACAGATGATGCTAAAGATATAAATCTGAAAATGTTTATACACAGCACAGCAAGGTTTATTAACATTACAGAAAAGAATTAAGCAGTGTAAAGCCACCACTTACCGACCTCATTAAAGAGGTTTGCCTATTCTATAGGAAAGACACAGAGAGAAGTTCAGGTTTACCATGCTACTATATACAGAGAAAAAAATTCTTTGAGCAAAATGCATTCTATTGTGATCAACAAAAACTGAGGTTTGTGTTTCAATAAAGAAAAAGAAGAAATCAAACAAACAACAACAACAACAACAAAAAACTCTTCTTCAGAAAGAATTACCCTGTGCCCTAGGAGAGTGGGAAGAAAAAGACTTCATCTAATTTTACAGTTAGTAAAATCAGCTTTAAAATCCACAAAACATTAAGAGCATGCAGTTAACAGACTGGCAAATGCTAGGTCAAAGTACCAGCCTAACAGTTAAAATAAAAGTGCCTTGACATTCTATTCAACTCTTTCATCAGCCACTTCTGGAATAAACCTACAGAACTTACAGAACAGCTGTAGAGTTATTTTATTTTTACTTACAATTCAAAAAAAACTATTTAGCTGTAACCTACTGTTATATCTCATAATTTGTTCACGAGGATCTGAACAGTTTAACCACTGTTCTCTCCCCTCCTACCACTCAATGCTGTGAGAGCTCCTACCCGAGGAGCTTTAGAGAAACAGGTTGTAACTCTCCAGAGACACAATCACCGCTATGCAACTTACGGTTTGATTTGTTTTTGTAATGACTGTTACATATGGTAAAGGTCAGTTTTGGACAAGATTAAACAGCAGAGTCACGGGATTGAAATATATAGCCCAACTAAGCTATATCTAGGAACATGACCAATGCAAACTAAAGGTAGTTATCAGAGATAAAGAGACATTCTGCCTCACAAAGCCTCAGTTTCTTCATCTGCATAAAAACACAGCCACACCAGCTTATTTGGAGAAGGCAGAAGCTACAGCAGCAAAATTAAATGATTTTTTATAAACAAACTATAAATAAATAAATAAAAATCACACCATATCTTTTCCAGACAGCTACTATGGTCTGCAAAGTAGATTTGTAGGTAGCCACTAAAGTGTTTAAACTTCTTACATGTCTTACACATGCTAAAAGACAGTACGGATTGTCTGATCAATTCTGGCTAAGCACAAGCCAGCTGATATCTATCCACCCAACTCAATGGATAATTATTTCCGCCCCTCGATGGGAACACTTCTCGGAGCACAGCAAGGGCTCCTTCTCAGTGTTGCCACAGATGTCAGTCCTTTTACCTCAAACAGCCCTGAGCTGAACAGGCAGCAAGCACCTGCTGTCAGCAATACCGAGGTGGCAGGGGCATGTCCTATAGGCATGCATTTCACACAGAGAAGCAGCTGAAAGTCAAAAAATATATATATTGGCATAGGCAGCAATATATAACCTAAATTAGGAGCCCGTTCCCTGCAGCTTCTTAAACTAGTGTGTAATTTTGGAAAACTTTCAAGTTTATGCATAATAGCAGTGGCACTTTAGGGTCTAGGTAAGTTGAGCAATGCTTTCAGTTGGAGTCTACTTAATTAGGCTCGGTAAGAAATTCTGCAACATTTAATGTGCTGCTTTCTAAATTTATGCTTCTCTTTTCAGCAATGGACATAAATGGCAGTGAATGTGTAGGTTTCTTATTTTAAGTCTCCAGCATGAATTCTCGTTGCATTTAAAAGGTGAACATGACTTGTCTAACAGTCTTACCATAAAGGCTTATGATTTCTAACAAGGAGATTCCCCAGATAACTCCCACAGCTAATTACCAGCGGCAGTCTCCTAATGCACAGCCTAGAGTCGTGCAAAGTTCAACCAGCCACTCCTTCCTACGCAGTCAGAGGCCTCCAAAGCCCATCCAGCAAAACAAAAACGAGTGCTGAAGGCTCGCTATGGTCAGGGCCAGAAGTTCAACTAATGAGCTGATAACAAGGGCAAAAATCGTGAAGAAGGAAACAAAACCAAAAAAAAAATAAAAAAAACAAACAAGCAAGCAAACAAACAAAAAAGAGCACACGGAAACTACACACACACACAGTAAGTAAACAAAACGAGGAGGAAGCCGCGGGGCTCGAGCCCGCTGCCCCTGCGGCCCCACGCGAGGCCCTTGCGAGGGCACAGACGGGGCCGGGGGCCGCATGCGCG